CTCCCCGAAGTTGAGCCTCACATACTTTGTTATTCCCTATATTTATATTTATATATTATATGTCTGATAGTAGTTGTCATTTACCATTTAATTGAAGTGTCACTTAAAACGATTACAATCTCATAACGCTTTTCTTACGAAAATAATTTTTCCTTCAATTTGCTTTCCTCTAAAATTAATAAAACGATGACAAACATGTCTGCATTTCGCTGGACCCCTCAATTTCGGACAGAACGAATAGAATTCTGATGGAATAATTTGTGCATACGCGCATGCATATTACAATTAAACATCCTGTCTTTTATTGTAATTAACTACTACTTTATGCATCGAACTAATTTTCCGCTACGAAAGTCGGTCGATGGTAAACTAATTGATTACAGACAGTTATTATTCTTAATTAAAATATGAATATTAATGTCTTACTCATCGCTGGTATAATCATGCACAACGTTCCAGTGTCACTATTTCACAGCAGTTTGTGACTTGCCACGAAATGCACCCGTTATTTTAATGATAATTACATGTTAAACGAGAATCGACTACAGTTACCCGCGGCACCGGCCGATGAAATAATTTTATCGAAATAGTATTAATAATTACGCGAATATACCAATTCGTCTACAGCTGATACCTGTTATCTGCGTTCACCAATTTCGTATAATTGCCCGATAAAATGCAAACATAATTTCCAGTTCGCCTTCTGTTAATAATCTTGGCGCAATTATATCTTATACCTTTCTACTTTAGAAAAAATTGATTTATTTGAGATAGAATCGATATTGTTCGTGTTTTGGCGAGTTAACGTTTACGATTGAAAAGCTCGGAAGAAAAGCAGTATATCGATGTTCTATATATCTACCGAATATTGTGTTCTAGTAAGTTATTAACTAGCTGAGAAAGATATTGTTATTTATTCATTTTTAACTGCTGCCTTGCGGTTTAGGATGTCTTTCCATTTACAATCTATTTGTTTACGATATGTGCTTAAACCGCATTCACATTATAATTACAATTAATAACCTTACTTATCATTATCTTCCTTATTAAACTATCAACCTATTGCTAAACTATTGTTCTATCGATGTTATAAGATGTATATGTGTGTTCAAAGTTTTATATTTTTTCGATTGTTGTACGTGAAGTGAAATGTAGATTTTACGAAGAATCAAAGAATCAAAAAATGTAAGAATGTAAAATCGAAAGTTCGTGTAAATCCTAAAGTTGAGGACTAGATAAAATAAACAAATATAAATAAATACTAGCTGAGAAAGAGCGATAAGTGTACTAATGTAATTTTAATGTAATTTTATTGCGTTATGTCTTCCTTAAAAAAATTGTGTTTAAATTTTTAATCATGTTTAAATATTAGTAATTATTCAAACGTCGATACTTTTCCATAACTCAAAAAGCGTTAATTTCAAGGAAGAACTAACTTGAGGAAGCTATGAATAGAGTCAATAGTTTCCAAAGATGGAATGAAACTTGAAATTTCTAATTAATTGTGAAATAACAATAATTTTTACTTATTACTTATTTATTATTTTCTCTGTTTGAAAATGAAGTGAAACTTATTCACTGAAACTTTGATTCCATACATTTTTTGCATAAATAGGAAACTTTTATTTTCTTGCAGATAGAAAGGAGATTCAATTATTCAGAAACATTTATTTTGCTTTAAAAAAAAGTTAAAGCTGTCCGAGCATTAATGAAAGTTACTTGGAAAATGTATTACTCTTAAAAAAATTAAACGCTAAATTCTAGAGCGTATATGTAATTAATTGCTTTTTCCTTTGTACAATTCCGCCCTTGTTGTTGGCGAAATAAAACAATTATACAAAAATCGTAACTTGCTTTCTCTTCTATTATACATTGATCCTACTTTCGATTCCTTAAATAATCATACGTGAAAAAATAATTTTAACCTTCGTATTTTCTCCTAAAATATCTGCTAAAAAGTATATGGATCCATCAGAAGTTTTATTAACGGAATACAAAATAACTGGTTATGGCTCAACTTTTATAACAGAGTTAAAGTGTTAACATACAAAGTTAACTTGGAACAGGAAAGGAATGATTGAAAAGTTAAAAGTTCGGTAAATCACGTTTATTTATAAAAGTTAAAAGTTTCATTCGATCCCTGCTGGTTCTCCACAAACTTGATCTGCAATTTTATTGCGTTAAAATATAAACTCTTTACAAAAAATATGTTTCAGTTTTTAATCGTGTTTAAAACATAATATTAATAGTTGCTGAAATACGTAGATATTTTTCCGTTACCCAAAAGGAGTTCGATACTGATAGGTTTAATTTGGGACCATAACGTTGAAGTTTTTCGCGTAACAATTTCTCAGAATGTATTATTTATTATTTATTTATTATCGCTTAGTTCGTGCCTTTCGGCTTTGGACGAACTTTCGGTTTTACATCTCTTATATCTATTTCGTTTCTTATATGTCTACCCCCCCCCCTCTTATCCACTCTATTGTATTGCACTCCCTTAATTATTTTATCTCTAAGAACTGAAACTAAAAACTGCAAATTAACAACTAATGACTAAGAATTATTGCAACTTTGGGCTTTTGCCTCCTTGCTGTGCTTCCTTCCTGTCGTTTGCCATTCTCTTCTTTATTATTGCATTTAGTTCTGTTAAACCTTTTCCAGTCTCTTTTAGTGTTTTTCCTATGTCCTTTGTTCCTCCCGTTATTTCACATTCTTCTATTACATGTCTCAGGTCTTCTTCTTTCCTTCTACATAGTCTGCATCTTTTTTCTCCCTCTTTTTTCCAGTACTCCCTTGCTTTGGTCTCGTTTCCACATCTGAATCTTGCCAGTATTCTTTTGCCCTTCCACTTTACCCTCCCTTCTAAGTACTTTGGTAATTTTTCTTTGGCGATATTTCTATAATATATATTATATTTGGATTTCCTTATCCTTTCCCCCCTCTCTTCTGCTTCCCTCTTTCTTCTTTCTTCTATAATTTGGTCTGCTGTCATCCTTTTCTGTTCTTCTCTTGCTTCCATCTGCGTCCCTTCATTTCTCACCTCTTCTAATCCCTTCTTTCTCTTTTTTGCTCTTTTCCCTTCTTGGCCATTTCCCCAGTTTCTCTCTTTTTCCTTTATACACTCCTTTACTAGTTCCTCTTTTGATTCTAGGGCTTTCTCTTTATACCTTGCTGCTCTTTCTAATGCTTTTTCTTTGATTTCTGTTAGTTTGCATTCTTCTATCAATATATAATTTGATGTTGTCATATCTGAACCTAATATCCATTTCACATATCTTCTTTGTATTCTATCCAGTCTTTCTTCCATGTTCCAGTCCCATATCTCTACTCCAAACAGCGCCACATTCTCTACCAGTGCTCCAAACATCTTCATTCTCCTCTTGTAGTCCTGTTTGAATATTCTTTCTCCCACGCTCCACGTTTTCTTCATTGTTATTGTTGCTCTCTTTTACCTGTCATGTATGCGTTTCTCATCACTACTGTTTTTCTGTAGTATGTACCCTAGGTATCTTATCTCGTCCGCTTCTTCTAATTCTTGCTCTCCCCATTTCCATTTTCTTTGTCTTCTTTTGTTCCTTCTTTTTTCGAAAACTACTACCTTGGTCTTTTCCGTGCTCAGTTCTAATTCGGCTTCCTTTAAAAATTTTTGAATCTCTTTAACATTTCTTTTAGCTCCTCTTCTTTATCCGCCATCAGCGCAATATCGTCTGCATATGCTAATGACCATACCTTTCTTTCTCCTACCACTATACCCGCAGCTTGTCCTTTCCTTAGTTCTTCTTCCAGTCCTGCCACGTAGATGTTGAATAATGTCGGGCTCAACGGGCACCCCTGTCTGACTCCCCTCACTGTCCAAAATTCTCTTGTGTTGTGGTTCTTGACTCTCACTACATTCTTTGTTTCTGCGTATATCTCTTTAATCCTTCGAGTTAGTTTTCCGCTAATCCCCTCATTTTCCTCATTTTCTCTTCCAATTTCTCTTTGTTTAGCCTGTCGAACGCCGCTCTTAAGTCCGCAAAGCAGGCATATAATTTCCCTTTTTCTCTACTCAACTGTTTGTCTATGATATGGTTTATCACAAATACTGCGTCGGTCACTCTTCTTCCTTTTCTGAATCCGAATTGACTCTCTTTCAGTTTGTTTTCAATCTCTGCCTTCAGCCGTTCGTCCAGTATTCCTGCATAAATCTTGTATGCTGTATTCATTAATGTTACTCCTCTGTAACTCTTCGCTACTCTCTTGTCCCCCTTCTTATATATCGAACATATTACTCCTTTTTTCCAATCTTTCGATATCCCTTCCCCATTCCATATTTTCTTTAACAACTCCCATAACGCCTTCCCCGCTTCGGTGCATACTTCCATACCTCATTTTCTAGCCCGTCTTCCTCCATTGCTTTCTTTTCCTTCAAGTTTCTTGGTAGATCACCTCTTCCTTCTCTATATTATCTTCTCTCTCCCCTATTATTTCCTCTTCCGCTCTATGCCCCTCCGTTTTTCTTCCCTCTTTGTGCTCTGTTCTTTCTAAAATTTCCATAAAGTGATCTTTCCACTCTTCTTCGCTTATATCCTCATCTATACCCTCTCTACTTCTATATTTATTTATTTTCACGCTTCTTGTTCTGTTTTGATCTTCTTTATTTTCTCCATTTCTTCTTCGTGTCTTTCCTTTGTTTGTTTGCACCACTGTTTGAATGCTTTTTTTTCCTCTGTGAGCGCTTCTCTGCTGCATTTTCCTTCCATAAACTTTGCCATCTTCCTTCTCATCTCTCTTTTCCTTTCTTTCCACTCCTTGTCGTACCACGCTTTCTCTCCTATGAGAGTTTATCTTCTTTTTGATTTCCGTCTCTACTGTTCTTCCCTTGCAGGTCCAATCTTTACATTCCTCCAGGTATTTTTCTACACTTTCGTTCGTCCATTCCCTTTTCTCCTTCTTTTCTTCCTTCTTTTCCTCATTTTTTTTTTTTGTAATTCCGGCTACCCTATTACTATTTCTAACGGCATGTGGCCCGACTCTGTTCTTTTTCCTACTTTCATGTCGATTATTTCTTCTGTCGCCTCCTGATTGCCAATCACATAATCTACTACTGAGTTTCCTCTCTCCCCAATATATGTCCACTCCTCCCTTTCTTTATCTCTTCCATTGATTATCATCCAGTCTCCCTCTTCCAGATACTTTAGCAGAGTTCTTCCTTTCATGTTCATTTTCTTGTCTTTTGATCGCCTGTTTTTTTCTTTCCCTAGATCCTCGTTTATCGGCCCTCCCTCTTCTCCCGTTCTTGCGTTCCATTCTCCGCCGATGATCATCACTTCCTCTTCTTTTCCGTCTACTCTTTCCTCCATTTCTTTCCATGTCCCTATACGTCTTATTATTGTATACTATTTCTTTTTCCAGTATATTATCACTTATTTCTTTGTATTCTATTTCTCTCGGTTCCTTATTTATACCCGTTATTATTCCCCCCTTTGCTCTTCCTTCTTTTCTTACTCTCATTGCTGCTCTGCATTTCCAGTCGAATTCTTTGGATAGTCTATATTTTAGTTTTTCCCAGTTGTCTTCCTCTATCCATGTTTCCGTGAGTCCGATCAAGTCGAATGTCTTCAAATATTCCCACACCTCCTTATCCTTACTTATTAACCCTACTACATTCCAGAAGCACATTTTCATCCCCTTTGTAGTCCTCCCTTTCCCCTCTTTTCGTTTTTTCCTCTCTCTCTTTCTTTCTTCCTCCAGCCTCTCTTCATTTTCGTTCCATCTGTACCATCTGTTTTCTATTTTTAGTTTCTTATATCCTATCCTTACATATTCGCCCTTTTCTCTTCTTACTCTGGCTATCCTTCTTACTTGTTGCTGTACCTCCCTTTCTTTTCTTGTCAGATCGTCATCTATATATACCCCTTTTTCCAATTTACTTTTCTCCTTCATTATCCTTATTTCTTCCTTCATTGATTTCATCGTCGCCACTATTATTGTGTTTTTGCCCCCCACCCTTATCATATGTGTTCTTTCTACTTCTGCCCCTATTTTCCTTTTTTTTCTCTTACGAATTCCTTTACTGTCTCTTCATTGCTTCCTTCGTCCCAGTCTACTCCTTTGATTACTATGTTCCTTCTTCTTTTCTCTCTCTCTGCCCTGTCCTTCTCCTTCTCGATTCTTCTGATTCTGCCCAATAATTCTTTTTTTCTCTTTTCCACTCTTCTTTCTCTCTGGCTCTTTCTCTCTCTCTCTCTCTTTCCCTTCCTTCCCTTTCCTCTTTCATTTCCCTCTTCATTTCCTCCACTTGCTTTTCGAATATACTTTTTATTTCCTTTATCATTTTCTCGAATCCTCTTTCCATTTTCTCCATTTCTTCCATCATTACCCCCATTCCTTTTTCCCTGGTTGGTGTCTCCTTTTCCGACAAGCTGTATTTATCCAATGTATTTTTTAAATCTGCCTTATCTCCCGCTTTACCCGTGTTCCTTGATCTCCCTCTATTTGTCGCTATCTGTCGTTTCCCTACCTTACTTTTTTTGCCGCGCTTCTGACTTCCTAACCTCTTCTCTTCTTATTTGTATCTCTCTCTCGTTCCCCTCTTCTTTTCGTTTTTCTTTCACTTTCTTCTCATATGTTCGCCCTTTATCTTTCCTCCTTCGTGTCATTTTGTGTTTCCTTCTCCTTTTTCCTTCCACACTTCACTTTTTCCACAGAGCTCTCCGTCCGCGTGTTACCCTCGCCCCGAACCAAACCTAAAGTCTTTCTCAAAATGTATTTAAACTATCAATATATTGCTAAACTATCGTTCTATCGATGTTATAAGATGTATATGTCTGTTCAAAGTTTTATATTTTTTCGATTGTTGTACGTGAAGATAATGTAAACTCGAAAGTTTGTGCAAATCCTAAAGTTGGGGACTAAATAAAATAAACAAATATAAATAAATATTAACTAACTGAGAAAGAGTGTGTATTTAGATCGATAACAAATTTATTATATATTTATAAATATAAGAACCATGAGGAAGAGATATAATTTTCGATAGAACGTTAGGATTAATATAGTATGATTTCTTGCGTAATATGTACCTTACAGTAAATATTTGTGCGGCTCGCGTTCGATATATTCAACAAATATATCTTCTTCCGGAAATGTAGTTTAAATATTATCCAACGATATTTAGTAGTTCTTCTATTTATATCGATTAATCTTGACTAATATCGATTAATATTGACTTATAGATTGAAAACGCATAACATGGTTGCAACACAGAGTTTCGTAGTAATATGCTGTTAAATGTACAGGTTATTAATTTGCTATCATTGTTTGCCAAAACACGGTTTATTTCTGTTTAACAATTGCCTGTCGCTCGCGTGGCTAACCGATTTTGATTTATCTCGTCGCGTGCGTGTCACTTTTGCATTATTGCGTCGTTAATTTATCAAAATCAGCCTTTAACACACATGGTGTGGCAGCATAATCGAAAGCATTCGTCTATATTATAAATTGCCAAAAATTTAACGATGTTCTAGACAGGTAGATTTGTCGACGAGCGTAGAGTCAATTACTGCAAAAGAAATTCTGAAAACTGAACTTTATAACGTGTAATATTCTTCGTGAGATCGCAAATTTACAGTATTTCAAAGTTAATGTAATAAATAATTCTTTACGTTATCCAGTGTGTTATATCTATCGTACGTAGATCGACAACGTAACATAATCGATATAATTGAACTCTGATACAATTAAAATTAAGATAGGAAGGAAATAATGGAAAGTTAGCAGAATAAATGAAGTACAATGTAATGAATGAAGAAGAACTATGCCAAATATGTAACATGAAAAAATTAGAATCAACCGAATACATCGTAAAAGACCAATGTATATAGCGAACCAAGAACGAAAATATGCAGGAATAAGAATAGCAGGCAAATTATGAAAGCGAACATTGAAGAAGATGTAAAAATATTCCACAACTTCGTACAAAGTGCAGTGAGAATTAGAACAATTTGCTGAAAATACTAAGGCAGTAAAGGTCCATTCACAATAATTGATATTGATTGTGATATTAATTATCGATGTTAACTTCTAGCAATAAAGATAGGAATAAGACTAAAAGGGATAGTACAAATCAGGATTATATCAAAGAAAAAAGATCGTTACTTATATATCTACTCATATACTTTTGTAATATTATTGCAGGAAAGTATCCAAATATGAAATACCATTTTATTTTTCGTATGTCGTTTGTATAAAATTAATCACATCAGAAGAAGACTTTTATGGATATTCAATGATACATTTACACCAAATTTAAGACCACTTTTATGCTTCTCACGCTATGAACAATATTCGATATTGAACTAACATTAAGAAGACAGAAGTTGTACCTAACATGGAATACCGACGTTAGGTATTTCCATAAAAAAAGCAAAAGAAATCGTATTCTTTTTATTTCACTCTTCTTTGAGAATAAAATCGTATCTCGGAAGAAGTACATTAAAAAATAGGTCTCTTTTTTCACAAAGCCGAAATAAGGTGGTTCTCGAGACTTGAAAACGACTTATTGCTTTGAGGTACCCCATTTTCTTTTCTCGAACCATTTTTACGGCTCGACCCGTCTCTTTTTCGTTCTAGACTGTTCTTTCTTATCAATTTTTCCTTATGCTGGAACAGGACATCTTGTTATCTTATAAATAAAACAACCTATAAAAAGAAGTAATCCAAATATGGAATATTCTATAATTGGACTACTACTGGGCGTCCGCATTTGGAATTTTACAAAGTTAAAGACACGATAATCAATTCGTAAATACTTGCGAGTATCATATCGGCAACAACAAAAAGCATAAATAAATACGGTGAAATAATAACAAAAAGACATCAAATTTACACATCGTTGAAAGTTTTCGAACGGCAGTAAAGTAGAATGATATCCTGCCACGACATTAACGTTCATTACATACACGACATTACATACCAAAGTGAATGAGGTAGCCTACAGCCGTGTGAGATATTCGATTGCCAGATTTTTAAAAATAGCATTATTCCATATTAGGTATACTATTCCATACTTGGTACTTTCCTCTGCTTTTTACATATTTTTAATCGGCATATTACTTAAGCTTGTAATGGACAAAAGTCTAACATAAGAATTTAAAAGAAGATACAAAGAAAATATAGACAAAGAAAAGATATTTAATAATCAATGATAATTGAGCAACTGTTTGGTATTTCTTAGAAACTTGATGTACAAAAATACAAAGATATCAATTATTTATTAATATATAACTCCCTGGCGATTATTTACTCCTGTTCATTCTCGAATTATCCAAATTCAAATATATCTGACAAATTTTCAAACTTTTTCCCGAAAACGATACGCCATGGAATAATGTTATATCATATTTTCGACTTGCTTTTTCATGTATAAAACGGAAAATGTTGCGCATCCATTATTTCCTTATAAAACGAAAGAAACTTTTCGGACGACCTATATATGTTGCGTCTTAGAAATATTTAAATTAGTTAAAATTCCATAATATTTGTAAGATATTCGAACTCAATATGGATTCTATAACATGAATAATGGAATTTAATTTCACCGCTATAAATACATAGGCTAAAATGTATAGTAATTACACCATAACGTATAATTTTTGCAAAATATTATATTGCATTTACTTACGTTTTTTCCACAATATTATCGAAATCATTCGCATTGTTGAAAATTTGTTAGTCCATCAAATTTATAATCTATGAAATATTTAAAATCTATAACATTTAGCAAATTGTCTCTCACCGATGAGCAATGTGGCCAGTCAACGTGTCGAACGTTGAGCCATAACGTGATAACGTAAAGCCATTTCTATCAAGATTTCAGGTCGAAGAAAATTGAAGAAACAGAAGGAAAGGAAAAAGGACAGAAAAAAAAGAAAGAAAGATTGCACGCGATAGAAACTTAGTTTACATAATCACGTTGGCATGCGCGGTGCATTCCATTAATTATGCGCGGCCACAGTCCTCCGGATTACAGACTCTTTCTTGGTTAAACTAAAGCCTTGTTGTGCGACGATAGACATTTTGTAATAGCTGGAACGATCCTTCGAGGGTTGGCCACGGACCAAATTCTCATGGACGGTCACGAACAGATATGACCGACCGCGAATTTATTATTCTATACGCGACAGTTTGATGTACGACATCGAGATCGAATTAAACCGATGCGATGTGTCTCGATCTCGTAACCATTCCGTGAAGATATTCGTGCTATAGATCGTATAGCTTAGAATTTAGAATGAAGAAACAAAAGGAGATCGTGATGGATTGTCGTGTTGCACATACAAAATGTTCCACGCAACTAATAGTTGTAATAGTAAAGATGTAATAGTACTTGTTATAGTAATTGTAGGTCTAATTCTTTATAAATCAATCTCTTCTTTGCTCGTGAAAGAGAAAGTAACATTCCTGATCTTTATAACAGATCTTTATTATAGAGATTACAGTAATTATACATACGTAGTAATGAAATTAAATATTAAAGCGCAATAAGTAGACTACGGATTTTTATCAGATGGTATGTTCTGAATAGAAGAAAGTTGAGAACATTTATTTTATTTGGCTATAGAAAGTACATAGCTTCAGTTTAAGCGTTAAAATTTCGGATACGTATAGGGGACAGGAGAAACTAAGAAAAACAGTCCTTTAGAGATTCGCTCGTTTTTGTCCCATTTTGGAGAAAACACGTAGAAGAAAATAAAAATGTTCTCGTTTTTTTTTTTTTAATTATTTAGTTACAGTTATTTATTCTGAGAGACCGAATCGCAGTCGTATTCAACCGACAGACCGAATCGTAGCTGCAGTGCAGTAAATATCACCAAGGCAATATCATCTAGCTGCGATTATAGCGGTCAATGTTAGACGTAACGCTTGTATTGCTGCAAGAGGACAGCATTGTGGACAGTGTCTTCGTAAAATATATACAGATGATAACAAGAATAAATGAATGTCAATAAAGAAGTGAAAAAACGGAAACTTTTGTGTTTCCTCCTTCGCGATTTTCTTCAATTTGGGGCAAAATTGAGCAAATCTTTAAAGAACTGTCTTTCTTAATTTATCGGTCCCATGCACGCTCCCGAAGTTTTGATATTTAAATTGGGGGCACTCTGTATGTATGTATACATATTTATCGTAATTCCAACCCCCGGTGAGCCGTGGGAGGGACTTGATTTACAAAAAAGACCCTACAATCACTCATCCCTCCCCACATCACAATCATACCTCGCTCCGTATGTCGGACTAACTTTAAAATTAAATTATCTGCAATGCGCACGGTTCTTTCTTTGATCATCTTTATTTCTCTCTAACTACCTTACATTTATTCTTGTCACATAACGTTGTACTACGTCCAACCTGCCTGTACTCTCGTTATACTAATATTAACATCTAAATATAATTACAAGACAAGCTACAAAAAATATTTGCACGCTATTGTATTTATTATAGCATTTAAATACCGATTACTTAAGTCCAAGTATACGAAACTTCGCGTCATTCGGTAACACGTTTACA